TAAGATAAACCACACCAATAAGGTATACCACCACCACGGAAAGGTACATGCCACCTACGACCCTGCAAATCCGCCTGCGACCCTCAAACCTCCACCCACGGCCCTTCCAGCTCACACCTGCGACCTGCAAATCCCCTTGTAGGGAGCACACCGACGACCCACAAACCTCCACATGACAATTCCAAATCACACCTGCCACCTGTCGGTTTATTCTTTTCATTTTAGAGGAAGTGTGCCTTCCTTTTTGTCGGTTGTACGTTTCTTCCATTTTAGAGGAAGGATGTTTCTAAGTACGGTAGCAGCCAAATTTGGTAGGACAGTGGACAAACCATGTTTGCAGCCAATGATTGCAAAAAGCTTCGAAATGCTGCGCGCGATGACGATGCTATTTGATATGAAAAGGTTGCTTTTACTAAAAGCGTAATAGCTAAGCAAGTCAAAGCGCAAAAAAATTGCGCAAAAAATACTCGAAATTAGCTCCGAAAACGAGCCCCGAAATTGGACCCAAAACGGACACCAAAATTGGAACCAAATTAGGAACATACTTTTTGGTTTCTTATTAACGCTTTCTTACCCTGAATTTCCTAATATAATAAAATTTTGGTCGACAAAAAATTATGTATTTTTTTGGATTTAGGTCGAAAAAAATACATAAATTTTTATTTAATTTAGTAAATATTTATTATTGAAAAACATTTAAATATATACCTAAATTAATTTAGATATATACCTAAATTGATTTAGATATATACCTATTTTTTTTGTCATGTTTTTTATATATATTATAAATTAATATTTTTTGATTAATTTTATTGTTTTTTTTTAAATTTTTGTTATTGGTTTTCTTGACATTTTGAATGATGTGTTTTGTTGGCATTGTTCAATTGTATAATTGTTTTACATGTTTTATTTTGGTTTGATTGTGGTGATGGTTGTGGTTTGATGATATTTTTTTTCTAATAAATATGTTTGTTTTCTATTTGTTATTTTTTTTGATGTATTTGTGTATGTTATTTGAGCTTTTTGTATTTGGACATATTAGTTTTGTGTGATTATTTGCTAATTATTTTTGGGACCTATATATGTTATATGGATTTTTTGTATTTGGACATGTCAGTTGTGAATTTATTTGTGTATCTTGGATTTGGCTTTCGATTCCTTATATGAGGGTATTATTTTGTGATTATTTGAATTTATTCTTTGATGTTTTTGATTTGTAATAATTGTTTGATTTGAGATATGTTTTTGATATTTATATGATATTTTTGTATCTAATTGTTTTTATTTAATTATATCCAAATATTATAAATTACGGATCTTTTCCATGAGTAGAATTTACATTTCAATATTAATTTAAATAATTTATATATAATTTATATTTTCTTTTCTAATTGGTCGTTATTTTGGCCTTGTGGGCATTGAAACCTTTGTAGAAAATCTTGGCCTTCCTTTGACTTGGAGCATACCTGTACTAGATGTGTTATTACTGTTATTTTCTGTGTTTTTTTATAAATCAAATCTTCACTAATATTTTTATGTAATTTTTAAGTTCTTTTTTATATGTATTATGTAATTTTTATATATGTTTTATGTATTTTTTATAATTTTTTTATATATGTTTCATGGATTTATTACGTATTTTTTATGTTTTTTTTATGTATTTTTTATATATTTTTTATATATTTTATTAAAATATATAAAAAATACATAAAAAATACACAAAAAATACATAAAAAATACATAAAAAATATACACAAAAAATAAAGAAATAAAAAATACATAAAAAATACACAAAAAATACATAAAAAATACATAAAAAATATATAAATAATATATAAGGATTTTAATTAAAATTATTAAAAAATAATATATTATAATATTAAAATCAACCAAAATACGCCAAAATCAATGTATTTTCATTTAAATAATCACCAATATCGCAGAAATATCAATACCTAATATATTTTTTAACTTAATTTATATCAAGGAAATCAGTAAAATACCTTCCATATTCAATAGATTACAAGTAGCACAAATAAGACAATTAATCTAGCAAATCCCCAAATAATAAAAAATAATTTATAAAGATTTTCCATTTTTTCAAATATAAATATAAAAAAGAAAAAAATACAATATTTCTAATTCCTTCAAATAAAAAAATAATTTGCTTATTATACCAAATCTAAACCGGTACAATAAATAAAAACGCAATATCCATTTTTGTTTTTTGCAGAAAATCACCCAAATGGTGTTTTTTGCTAATTATACGGTACCTAGCCCGATATTATTTTTATACAAAAATTCCAATTCCTATTTTTCGGGGGAAATTATTAATATAATAATTTTATTTATTATACCAAAATTAATTTAGTATAATATGTAAAAACACCATTATAATATATAATTAACCAGGATTCCAAGTAATATTTAAATAAGGTATAATTCACAAGTAATTAATCAATCCCTCAATATATATAATGTTAATAACAAATAAATATCCCAATAATTTCATTTAAAACCACTTATATATATATTTGAATTTTCTTACTTAAGCCGCATATATTAAGTCGTTTCCTTGTAGGAAACCATCCGGGTATAAATTAGAAAGCCAACATCTATAAACTCATCTTCCAGGTCCAAGGGCATGTTTCTTGCGCAAAATACGGCTTTATCCCCCATTGTCGGTATATAAAGTGGAAACCGGAAACCCACTTTATAAGTGCAAAGGATGTCCACTTTATAGTAAGCTGTACGTAGGGGGTTTTAATCCGTAATTTTTCCCTACGGAACACAGACCCTCGCTTAGACACGTACTTCCATCCAATTCACCCAACGATTCCTAATGGTAATTATTTCCTATGTAATCAATATAAGGTAATTTTTTTTTAAAACTATTATAATATAGTAATTCGGAAATTTAGCAATTAATGTTATTTTAAATAGTGTGTTTTTTGGTTTTAATCAATATTATTTATATTTTAATGGTGTTTGGACCATATATTAATATAATATTAATATTATTTTATATTGGTATTTTCAAAACGCGAAAACTAGTTCCAAAATTCCAGTATGTTTTCCTCGTCGCAGCAGCGGCTCACTGCAGGATCCGAGGTATCCTGACAAGGGAAAAATGGAGGAAAGAAATTGCAATATATATATATATGTACACACTCAATTTTCATGTCTAACCTGAATTCCAGTTGTTTAATGTTGTATATGTTGTATATATTATAATCAACCATATATATATATATGTTAATGTGAAATATAAACATTGATTATATAGTATATACATCACAATCATTCACTAACCTGAAAAGTGTGGCTATATTGGGACAATTCCCCCTACTAACCAAACATGAACAAACATGGATAGGAAACACACACGTAAATCCAGGTGATCCCATGTCATAGAATGTTATAGATGTCGTAGATGTTATGGATGACGTACGTCCACAGCGCCCCTTTGCCATCTTTGGCACAACGAGAACACACAGGAAATCCGCGAGGACAAAAAAAGGAATGTTGCATCGACATGGGTGAAACTTGGCAATGATTTGGAAAGTTCCAAAGGAGAAACCGTCTGCAATCTACAAATGGTAGATTTTCCATGTTTTTGCACTTGGGGGTTGTTCTTAAATGGAACACGGACCAAAATCAAAGCTGTGGAATGCTATTCCCTTCAGGTTGCAAAACGGATGCACCAAGAAAAAAGAACGTAGGACCCAGTTTGTATGTATGTTTTGGAAAAACTCAGGAAAAATAAAGAAAAGGACCGGCTATCCATTTCATCCCATCAAGCAGCTTGCCGTCTAGACCTACTTCAATGCATCGAAGAGCGGTCCTTGCTCAAAATCAGCTGAGAAATTTTGTGGCGCCAAAGGCCTCCAAGGCAATACAAGCAAAGCCTGGGAACTTGTGAGACTTTGTGCCCCCCTCGAAGCTGCAGACAGAAACGGACCAACTGTATCCAACTGTTACAAAACCTCTGAATCCACGCATTGGAGAGGGTTGGTCAAGTGAGACACATACAAGCTCACACAAGCACTTTCCGATCCATCAGTCATGCCCCATCTGAATGGCTCACTACTTCGTGGGCAAACAACCCAGGAGACCTCCCTACGACATGGTGGGTGGGCAAACATCGGCAGATCTCAGCCTGGTCGCCCTGGCGTTTAGTCCACCCACTTGGTGAGGTAGTTGCTGCCCTTCAGGGCAGCAGCCACCTGGCAAGGTCCATTCACTGTCTTATGCTGTCTTACGTTTTCTAGTGTTGTTACATGTTGTTACAATATGTTACAATCTAGTGCTCTGTTTCTCAGGATTTTGGGATCTTGGTCGACGCAGGCAGAGTTTCTCAAAATGTCCTGGCCTGTTCGCTGCTCATGGATGCATACCTTGCAGGGTCAAAGAGTTCAACAAAGTTTTGCTGACAAAAAAACTAATTGAAATCCACCACAGAATTTACTCCAAACCTTGGGGAGAACTCCCTGTGCCCTATGCCGCATGCCCCAAAAATCGGTTCCCATTTGGATCATGTCCGAGATCCCCAAGCACATCGGAAACCTTTCAAAAACAGCTGGGCCAAGAGGCTTCTTCAAGTCCTTGGCGTTCTCCCATTCGAAGAACTTGATGCCGTCCCTTTGGGGCTGGCAAATGGGAGACTTGACATCCGCTCTGGTGAAGTCTTCAAACACTCAGCTTATGTTCAACTCTTAATGCGGTTATTTGGGCTCCGAATTACAAAGAACTTATTCATAAACATAAAAAAACACTTTACACTTATCTAATATTATTTACATATTTACGTTGATCTTGTGAGACTGAAGTCAGCGAGTCATGTAGATTCTTGGTTATTGGAAAATGGAGCCCCGCTTTCCAGATTGGTGGGAAAATTGGAGCACGGAACCCCAAACATGGCCGACCTGATACAACCTCAAACGGTTCCAATGAAGAATATGTAGATCCAATGAAGTAAAGAAAATGTGTTCCAAATCCCCTGCCGCCGAGCATCTTGGTCACGGCTTCCCTGCCGAAGTGGCAGTAGGCCGCGGTCTCCTCAGCACGGTTTGGGAGTGCTTTGCTTCTGGTATCATGTGAGCAAAGTCTGCAAATTGATCAAATGAATTCAATAAGATCAAACCACGATGAACTCTATCGCTGCATTCTTTAATCATGCACGATCCAAGATAGTTACACTAGGTGGGAAGCAAACTTTCAAATGGAGCAGCCCTTGGGTGCTGTTATCCGTTGTCAAAGCCTCCCTGCCGCTGCACCGCACAACAGGTCTCCTGGTACTTTGGTTCCCGAAGGGCCAGGGACGCGGCGATGGCACCGGGACGGCAGTCGAACTCAATCCTTGATGTGTTGGATCATGTTTTGATATGTTTGCTTTTTGGGGCCCTGTTCAACTACAGTCTAGAGGTTCCAAGATTCATTTCATGGTGCAAACATGGTGCAATGGGCCACTTGAGTCCAACGTAGTGTCCCGTCATCTTCCCACATGACCTTGTCCGAACATGTGGTACTTCAAAATCCATTGGTTGTCATCACTTTTCCCATCGAAGCAAACTTGGGGGCGTATGGCTTCCACATCTTTCCGCCGAGTTTCTTCAAGACGTTGGTGATGTCATCCACCGTCAGCTGGCCCTTCTCGCTGCCATAAGCCTCTACCTCCGTTGGGAAGGCGGGTCCGGCTTCACACTCTGATACGTAGATGTGCATCATATCTGGGAAATGCATTGTAACTCAATATCTAGGTGAACTTGGGATATTTATGGATATTCATGGATATTCTATAAATAGGTTCAAAATGGTTCAAACATGGTTACTACAGTAAAGTACTAGTTATTATAAATAACTTATAATAACTTATTTGCAAGTTTGGGATTCATTTCCAAGTGTGTCTCAATGGATGTCCATTTCCGCATTCCACAACTCACTGTCACCAGTGTCACCAGGGCTCCCCACGAAGAGAGACAAGGGCTTGGCGACGCCGATCGCATAGGACAGCTGCCTCGGCTCCACCACAAGGCGTCTGGTCTCAGCAGGAAGAATGCGAGCAAAATCCGAAAATCCACATGCCACAAACTCACTGCTCCTTGCTGCCTGGCTGCACCAAACACCTGGCTGCCAAACCAGAAGACACCACGGACTTGGCCTCGGGCCACGGGTTTGGGTCGACCTATGGGCTCGTATGGTTACTATAGACTATAGGCTGAAAAAGGAGTCATGACTGGGCAGAACACATTGCCCGAATAAATCAAACATCGGCATTGTTTGCATGATTTCCACCTTCCAGCGACAGGATTTCATCTGCCCCAATTTCAGACCCTGGCCATCTGTCGGCAAATGTATGCTGCGGAGCGATCCACCTGCAGCAACTGTGAAAATGTGCGAATCCCATGCCATCTCTGAACCATTGGCCGAAGCATTGAACCTTCGACCCTCACTGCTCTTTGAACATGACTTGTTCAAAGGTCAGCGGCAGAGGATTTTACATATAATGCTGAATTATGCTTCCCATATCTTCACAATTCAGCAAAGGAAGAGTACACAGCCAGTAGCTTGGAACAAAGTTTATATGCCTTTTCTGGTGACCCGTGTTGCTACATGTTGCTACTCTGTACCTTGGTCTCTTAAAGCTTTGGGTACCCCTTCTCACCACTGGTTTCCCAACAAAAATGAGCAACTTAGGTAGTCTGGGGTTCCCCAATGACTCAGCAAACCCTCATATTATCCGAATATGTGTGTGTGTATGAGTTGTTTACACATTGCTTGCTAATCAAACATTGCTTGCTGGAAAAAATCACCCATTTATTTCGATTCTCCCATTAAAATGCACATTTATAGTGGATTTCCCAGCAAGCCACGTTTAACTGCCAAAGTTATAAACTCATGATCCCATGAATATTTAGTTCTATCACCATTAACATATATTTATTTATTATCTATATATATATATATCCCCATTGTACCACCATGTTTGGTTGCTAAATCACCATGTTTCAAGGTGAACATGCCAATTTTTCTTGTTGATGAAACTCTCTACAATGTGGGGCCCCCTAGATAGCTAAGTTGGTTTAGCACATTTTAAAACTACAATAAGTATTGTTTATGATGGTAAATGGTGCTTAGAAGTAAAATATTCATGGGGTTTATAAAGCAACTTACGACTGGGGGGGCCCGCATAAGCAAACAGCCAATATAAAGCCATGAAAACAATTATAACTATAACTATAGTTCCAAGATGTTCCAAGTACCACAATTCGTAGCAACCCATTGAAATTCTTCATGCCGAACCCCCTTTGGGGCGGTCGGCACCTTGGTGGGATCCTTGCCACTGAAGGCGCCGCCACCGTGGGCTCCCCAGCCGCCGTAGGTGTCGATGATGATCCTTGGCGCCGCCATGTTGGAGTGGTTATAACATGGGTATAACATGGTATGACCATATTTTATGGTAGATATAAAGAAGCAGTTGGGGTGGTATAATCCAACGTGTAGTCAAGTTTCTTTTGGGATAAACATGGATATACTCCCTGTGACATCCTATGACTATGGTCCTATGACCACATATTCGTGGAACTGCACCAAGTAGCTTGAGGTAGCTGCTAACTAACGTGTGAATCACAGGCGACTGGAGGGATCCAAAGAATTTCTGGTTTCATTGGTTTATGACCTGATTTTTTTACATGCGTCTCTTTGACCATCAAACATAAGAGCTTTGGGCATCAAACTGTAAACCATGAACAAATGGAACAATGAATGGATCGATTGGTTTAAGATGGTTTAAGGGAAAATCTACAAGGAAACCATGGTTTGTTCCCAAATATGATGGTTTTGCACCCAAAGATGAGGGTTTCCGGCAACACTTTCCTTGGACCTGAAAAACAGTTGGGTGATTGATGATTTATCAGAATCACCAGGTGGTTGAAGGTCAAAGTACAATGTTCACAGTAGCAAATTTCAACTAAACTTCAACTATACAACCTAAAAACAGGACCTATTTACGGAGAAGTTTGCATGCTGTCTACATGTATTACAATCTAAGTGGATATGTGCGCATTTGGCGAGGCGACAGGTTTGAAAAACAGGTGGTCTGGTATGGTCTGGTGGTGGGACCTGGGACTGACAATTTGGATAATAAATGGATATATCCGCCGACCTCGGCAGACGCAAGGGGGAGCGCGCCAGGGAATAAGACAAGCAAAGACAAGCAAGTTTAGCCGCACTAGCAGCAAGAGCAGCGGCAGCAGCAGCGGCAGCAGCAGCGGCAGCAGCAGCAGCAGAAGCGATAGCATGCTGCTGAGTTTTTGTGCACCAACTTCCCGGAACTCTTGTGGGTCGGCCATGTAGGAATGCATGGCAGCAGCAGGCAGCAGCAGGCAGCAGCAGGCAGCAGCAGACACCAGCAGAGGCAGCAGCAGGCAGCAGCAAGCAGCAGCAGGCAGCGGCAGGCAGCGGCAAAGCAGCAGCACCACAGCAGCAGCAGCAGCCACCAGCAGCAGCACCAGCAGCAGGCAGCAGCAGGGAGCAGCAGGCAGGCAGCAGCAGGCAGCAGCAGGTAGCAGCAGGCAGCAGCAGGCAGCAGCAGGCAGCGGCAGGCAGCGGCAGGCAGCGGCAAAGTTGCAATTTTATTTATATAGTAGGGTTTCAGAAGTGACGTTAGGCCCTTTTTTGGGGTTCCTTTGCTACGTTTTGGGTACGAAATTAGGTGGTGCTTTGCTGTTTCGGATGTGCAGCAAGGAGCAGCAGGCAGGCAGCAGCAGGCAGCAGCAGGTAGCAGCAGGCAGCAGCAGGCAGCAGCAGGCAGCAGCAGGCAGCAGCAGACACCAGCAGAGGCAGCAGCAGGCAGCGGCAGGCAGCGGCAAAGTTGCAATTTTATAGTAGGGTTTCAGAAGTGACGTTAGGCCCTTTTTTGGGGTTCCTTTGCTACGTTTTGGGTACGAAATTAGGTGGTGTTTTGCTGTTTCGGATGTGTTTCGAAAAGGGTGTCTGGCTGTTTGTTTCTTGCTTTGGAGGCTGTTTGATTGCAGCAGCACCACAGCAGCACCACAGCAGCAGCAGCAGCCACCAGCAGCAGCACCAGCAGCAGGCAGCAGCAGGGAGCAGCAGGCAGGCAGCCGCAGGCAGCCGCAGGCAGCTGCAGGCAGCAGCAGGCAGCAGCAGGCAGCAGCAGACACCAGCAGCAGGCAGCAGCAGGCAGCAGCAGCAGCACCACAGAGGCAGCAGCAGGCAGCAGCAAGCAGCAGCAGGCAGCGGCAGGCAGCGGCAAAGTTGCAATTTTATAGTAGGGTTTCAGAAGTGACGTTAGGCCCTTTTTTGGGGTTCCTTTGCTACGTTTTGGGCACGAAATTAGGTGGTGTTTTGCTGTTTCGGATGTGTTTCGAAAAGGGTGTCTGGCTGTTTGTTTCTTGCTTTGGAGGCTGTTTGATTGCAGCAGCACCACAGCAGTAGCAGCAGCCACCAGCAGCAGCACCAGCAGCAGGCAGCAGCAGGGAGCAGCAGGCAGGCAGCAGCAGGCAGCAGCAGGTAGCAGCAGGCAGCAGCAGCCAGCAGCAGACACCAGCAGAGGCAGCAGCAGGCAGCAGCAGGCAGCGGCAGACAGCGGCAAAGTTACAATTTTATTTATAGTAGGGTTTCAGAAGTGACGTTAGGCCCTTTTTTGGGGTTCCTTTGCTACGTTTTGGGTACGAAATTAGGTGGTGTTTTGCTGTTTCGGATGTGCAGCAAGGAGCAGCAGGCAGGCAGCAGCAGGCAGCAGCAGGTAGCAGCAGGCAACAGCAGGCAGCAGCAGGCAGCAGCAGGCAGCAGCAGACACCAGCAGAGGCAGCAGCAGGCAGCAGCAGGCAGCGCAGGCAGCGGCAGGCAGCAGTTGCAATTTTAAGTAGGGTTTCAGAAGTGACGTTAGGCTCTTTTTTGGGGTTCCTTTGCTACGTTTTGGGTACGAAATTAGGTGGTGTTTTGCTGTTTCGGATGCGTTTCGAAAAGGGTGTCTGGCTGTTTGTTTCTTGCTTTGGAGGCTGTTTGATTGCAGCAGCACCACAGCAGCAGCAGCAGCACCAGCAGCTGGCAGCAGCACGGAGCAGCAGGCAGGCAGCCGCAGGCAGCCGCAGGCAGCCGCAGGCAGCTGCAGGCAGCAGCAGGCAGCAGCAGGCAGCAGCAGACACCAGCAGAGGCAGCAGCAGGCAGCAGCAGGCAGCGGCACAGCAGACACCAGCAGACACCAGCAGAGGCAGCAGCAGGCAGCAGCAAGCAGCAGCAGGCAGCGGCAGGCAGCGGCAAAGTTGCAATTTTATAGTAGGGTTTCAGAAGTGACGTTAGGCCCTTTTTTCGGGTTCCTTTGCTACGTTTTGGGCACGAAATTAGGTGGTGTTTTGCTGTTTCGGATGTGTTTCGAAAAGGGTGTCTGGCTGTTTGTTTCTTGCTTTGGAGGCTGTCTGATTGCAGCAGCACCACAGCAGCAGCAGCAGCCACCAGCAGCAGCACCAGCAGCAGGCAGCAGCAGGGAGCAGCAGGCAGGCAGCAGCAGGCAGCAGGGTTGCAGAAGTGACGTTAGGCCTTTTTTTGGGGTTCCTTTGCTACGTTTTGGGTACGAAATTAGGTGGTGTTTTGCTGTGTCGGATGTGTTTCGAAAAGGGTGTCTGGCTGTTTGTGGCAGCAGCAAGCAGCAGCAGGCAGCGGCAGGCAGCGGCAAAGTTGCAATTTTATAGTAGGGTTTCAGAAGTGACGTTAGGCCCTTTTTTGGGGTTCCTTTGCTACGTTTTGGGTACGAAATTAGGTGGCGTTTTTGCTGTTTCGGATGTGTTTCGAAAAGGGTGTCTGGCTGTTTGTTTCTTGCTTTGGAGGCTGTTTGATTGCAGCAGCACCACAGCAGCAGCAGCAGCACCATGCAGCATCAGCAGCAACCATCAGCAGCGTCACAGTGAGGCAGCATGCAGGCACGCCGCATGCAGGCCGCAGGCATCTCAAGTCGGCAGCAGGCAGCAGCAGGTAGCAGCAGGCAGCAGCAGGCAGCAGCAGACACCAGCAGAGGCAGCAGCAGGCAGCAGCAGGCAGCGGCAGGCAGCGGCAGGCAGCGGCAAAGTTGCAACAATTTTATCTATAGTAGGGTTTCAGAAGTGACGTTAGGCCCTTTTTTGGGGTTCCTTTGCTACGTTTTGGGTACGAAATTAGGTGGTGTTTTGCTGTTTCGGATGTGTTCCGAAAAGGGTGTCTGGCTGTTTGTTTCTTGCTTTGGAGGCTGTT